TTTAAGGATTTTTGTTTTGTTTTTCCAGATATTTTTTCCATATATTTTATATATATATATATATATATATATATATATATATATATATGAGAGAGAGAGAGAGAGAGAGAGAGAGAGAGAGAGAGGGGATAATAATCAAGATAAGGATTTAGGCATGAATAAAAACTATACCATTTTCCCCGTTTTGTTTTTTTTTGTTTTTTTCTTTTTAATATTTTTTAATCATTTCACCATAAGCAAAATAAAGCCACTAGGAGAAAAGATGTTATTAAATGTTGGAGAGCAGGAGAAAAACTATTCATGTGAGAAGACCTTAAATGAATAAGAATGAATGAGACAGGTGTAACGATTGATATTGCATTTAAATATTTGAAGACAGAAGTAAAATTAAGAAACCGAGATATAATTCCACAAGCGAAAATGGGATAGAAGAATCTGTTATCATAGAACTAAGAACTAAATCTAGCTATTTCAACTGTAAAATGATGAGACCTCGTCGTCAATATCGTAATGCGCTTAAATTCATAAAGTCTAGGTACCATAGAGGAAAGTTCAGCAGAACAATTTGGTTGAAACAATAAAGAACTTAACAAAAATTTTTCAAAAATGTTTATATATATATATATATATATATATATATATATATATATATATAATAATAACACATAGAATTAATCAGAAGTATTAATGCGATTATTGGCGACATCCATCGCTAGAAAACATAATATATGCATTAAAATCCTGTTCATCCAGAGTGCGAGTTTTGATCCTTGAAGAAAAACTTGTTGTCTGTAGTTTTTCAGTTTATTTGATTTTAAAATGCTAGTACTTACGGACAGCCTTCCATCCATCATCAGGCATGTGTTTTTTTTCTTATAAAATCAAAAACTTGAGACGATATATCTGTATGTCGACCGAAAGATGTTTTTTGAATTATCTGCTATGGTTGACGGGGGTGTAAGATCGTGGAACGCGCAAAGACGCAACGCTAAATTTTCAAAATTTTTAAGTGAGAATTTTATTTAAATATTTCTTGTGATGTGTTAAATCCACATATTCTATTTTACAAGTGTATTAGTTTTTATGTCATGAACTAAGTATATAGTTCAATAATATAGTGTAATGTCTTAGTAGTAGTTTTTTTTATAAGAATTTTTTTGTACTGCGGATCGATAGTTTTTAATAAACATAAAACATTAGGCAGCATATGATTTACATACAAAGAATAATCACACATAGAATTAATCAGAAGTATTAATGCGATTATTGGCGACATCCATCGCTAGAAAACATAATATATGCATTAAAATCCTGTTCATTCTATATCAAGAATCTAAAATATGCAAAGTAATAAAAATATATTTAGGATGTGGGCAATCATAGCTCTCCACAACTATCTATTTTTGTAGCACTGTGTAAGGTTGTAACTTTTCCCCAACACTCCTAATACTTGTTCTGCTAACCATTTACACAAACCTGACTGGTTATTCGCTGTTTTCTTCTGATTCTATATGTATGTAGCATCCGTCAGCCTCGAGTGTCCATGGATCTGTCTCTTTGGAGACAGATCCATGGACACTCGAGGCTGCTGATGGCGGCGCAGCAACTGTTATGGCTGTACAGCCCCACACCGGACGGACAATCTCGATTGCAATGGATGCATGTTAAGACGCTCCCCACCCATATGTCGCTGTGTTGTTGCTTCACGTGTTTTGCCGTTAAATTCTCCAAATATTTTTCCTCATTATTTCTCACAGAAATTTCAATTGCTTCTTTTCGAGTCTAATCACATTTATCCTTTTATCTTTTATTTTACAAAAAACTTTCACATTACTCAAATGTTCTGTCCATGTTATTCTAAGCTTACCTTTATGGAACCACATCGGTATTGTCTAACGTTTCCTCTTTATCTGCGAGGAAACTTTTCAGCGTTCACTGCAATATTGGTCAAATGTTATTACATCACATTACAGTTCTTTGTTCCTGACATTTTCCATTTTCTCAATATTTTGTTAAGCTTTCGGAAGCCCTAATTTGCTATTGTATGAGAATTTGGTACCACATTTCCCTCCTCTGATAAAACACTTCACAGTTATTTAAACTCCTGTATTTGCTTGAATTTTATATTCTTATCTCGCAAGTTGCGGTCTTTCTCTTGCATACAACTGTAGCAGCAAGAATCAAGATGAGGTCATGTTAAATTTAAAACAACACAGTACAAAACATTTACCTTCGACTAATGGCTATCTTAAATGGAGACAACTTCAAAGAACAAGAGCAAAAGTTTCAGACTGTGAGAAAGTGACGGAAGGAAGATTAATTAAATTTTTAAACGAAGATGGCAGGGCAAAGAAAACTGTTGCCTATGAAACTGGCCATCCCGCGAATTTCAGACCCAGAAACACCATCTGTGTAATTTTTGTTGTTAAATAATGTCCACCAACAATACGTCTTAATAGTTCGAGCTAGTTGAGTTCTGTTTTAGGTAAACCGTATTGCACTTAATGTGTTTATGTGATAAGAACCAAAACCACACAAAAAAATGATATCCGAAAATGTTAATAGGGGCAGAAATTATTATATTTCTTGCTGATATAAATACAGCAATCATAAAATTCTCATGAAAACGTGTTAAATAGAATTGTCATATTCTTTAGGTTTTTTCGGCAGTTCAGATTGGTAGATTTTATAAACGCATTTTAAAATTAAAAAAAAAAAAACGAGCGTCTATTTCAAACACGAGTATCCATTAAAATAACTTTTGAAGTAATAAAATATCGGATTAAAAATAAATCCCATGTATTTCATAGGAATTACTTTACGTTTCGGATGTAAAAATGAGTAAATATGCTTTCGGAAAATAACTGAAAGAGGATGTGTGCATTTCTTAAAGGGTTAAAAAAACAATGCATGGTTGTGGGTCTCTCTGGGTCGAGCGCTCTAAAGCAGGCTTGATCTAACATGGCTTTCTCATATAAAGAGGAACGCATATCCAGACTCTGTGAGAGAGTTACAGTTTCTTTATTAAGTTTTCTCGAATGCACCGGTTAGTAGACGGAATACACATTGTTTAAAACAAAAAAGGGACGTATATTTCAAATACGGGTATTCACTAAATATGACGGTGGATATATAAAGACAAAATGAAAACTTTTTTAGCCGACGCGTTTCCGTCTCTGATGGACTTTATCAAAGCAAATGTAAGCGTGTTATTTTGCCGAAAGTTTTTACACATATGGAAGCTCATAAATATACTTCAGTCTAACTGAAAATCAATATAAATTATTAGGGGTAATAAAGGATGTAACTTATTGTCTAACGAACGAAACTGTGCAAGTGATATTTTTGTTCTTTAGAGTGTTATAATGTAATTATTATCTATATTTGGGAAATAAATTTATGTATTATACAGGGTGGCAATAAATTCACTATACAGTTACTTACGATAACAAATAAGACAAAGTAATTAATCAACATTCCCAATAGTTATTAAAATACTTCTGGTTACTTCTGGTTATTTCTGGTAAATAACAATAAAATATTGTGGTAAAACAATAGTAAATTAATTACCGATAATGTTTGAACTGCAAGCCACCCACTTCAGAGCTTTGCTTTTTTATTATAATTAAATGTATAGTGACCTTCTTGTCACCTTGTATATTTGAAACAAAGGTTATGTATTTACCCGTTTTGTTTTAATTTAAACACACACACACATACACACACACACACACACATATATATATATATATATATATATACATATAGTTATAGCCATGTATGCTGGTTGAGGAAAACGAGTATATCTTTTAGGAAGGAGATATTTTAAAAAGTCCGGGGCACGAATTAATATTTTAAGATTCGATAGTGTTATGTATGGCATTATTTAGATCGAGCTTGTAGCTGGACATATTTCTATGTATGTCTAATGTATTTGATACTGTGTTATGCATAAAATCATTTCTATATTCATAGATACATTTTTAAAAAAATCTGCAGGATTCTCCGATATGTTGTAAGGAACAGTTGCATTATTTCATATACACCTCCTTTAGAATTATTATTGTTATGGAGATTCTTTTAAAGTCACTCAAAACCATTTTCGGCATAAAATGACCACTAAGGTTGAGATGCCTTTAAACAAAACAATCAATCAATTATTGTTATGGACATTTTTTCTTTTGTTCAATAGCCCTAATAATTATTTGAATGTAGCTGTAATTATTTTGATAGCTTTAAGACTAGATACATTGATTTTGAAAGTAAATGTTAAGAAGTTTGTAGGTATTATATATATATATATATATATATATATATATATATATATATATATATATATATATATATATATATATATATATTATATTATATATATATATATATATATATATATACATATCATTGTATATATATATATATATATATATATATATATATATATATATATATATATGTGTGTGTGTGTGTGTGTTATTAGAATTATTATTGTTATGGATATTTTTCTTTTTTTCAATAGTCATAATAATTATTTGAATGTAGCTGTAATTATTTTGATAGCGTTAAGACTAGATAGGTTGATTTTGAAAGAAAATGTTAAGAAGTTAGTAGGTATTATATATATATATATATATATATATATATATATATATATATATATATATATATATTTATCATATATTGTTTTTATTAATTGTATATATATATATATATATATATATATATATATATATATATATATATATATAGATAGATAGATAGATAGATAGATAGATAGATAGATAAACGAATTTATACATAACCAGTACAGACGCATACAACCGCACACTAACGTGTTATCGTTGACATTTTCAATAATATATAATTCTTTCGTAACGTATATTGTTATCTATACATAAGCATGTGTATTCGTATGTGACGAAAGTGAAAAACACCGACATATATACAACATCATGTAAACCTAAACAGATAGTCTTGATAACATTGCAGCGAGTAACACTGCATTAGCGAGTGAACTGGGATTCGACTATGTGCTGTATTTGAGCTGATGATGGTCTTGTGTTGTTCACATCAAAGAGTGCAGACAGTGACACCAGCGATGCGGCAGGTGGCCGCGGGTCGGTGTTTGATGGTGATCTGCAGGGCAACGGGGGAGGAGGCGATTGTAGGACCGTCTCGGATTTCATCAAAGGATTTGTCGGTCTATCGCTCACTAAGGTTTCGAACAGAAAGAAGAGGAGGATTAAGAGAAAAAAAAGAGAGAGAGATAGAATGAGAGTTTTCAAATTGAGGGAAAGGTACAAATAGAAATAGAATGAGTTTCAATGGGAGGAAAAATGAGTATTTCCAAGAGGGGACTTCAGCCAGGGAGGTATATAAGAGAAGGTGGAAAGAAGAAGTAAAAATGGAAAGAAAATAAGTTGTAGTGTGTGTGTGTGTGTGTGGGGGGGGGCTACGCTGGGTAATAAAACTAATAAAAAGTAAACAAAAATAGAAAAGAAAAAAAACCGTTACAGACAACGAATAAGGCAAATTCAAAGTGAAACCAGTAAGAGTTTTAAAATAGGCGAAAGGGGTGTATGAAACTAGATGGAATGATATATTCGAAATAAACAGAACAAGGGCGTGAGAGATAAAGAGAGAGAGAGAGCACGAGAGAAAGAAAGGAAAAAGGATATGCATAAACAAAGAGAGTAAGATCTAGATAGCCAGACTGATATAACCAACTAGTTAGACAGCATTGATGAAGTAATGGAAATTTAATATATACATATATATATATATATATATATATATATATATATATATATATATATAGAGAGAGAGAGAGAGAGAGAGAGAGAGAACAGAATGAGACAGATAGATAGATAGATAGATAGATAGATAGATAGATAGATAGATAACCTGAGGAATATTCATGAGCACTCCTGTACCAAAAACTTTTAAAAAAAATACAAATAAAATTTTTGCTTTTATATAAAAACACTTGTCACAAAATAAAGTCCGCGCATTTGTCTTAATAAAGTCCCTCAGAGGTGGAAACGCTTTGACTAAGATTAGATTTCATTTTCCATTTGTCTTTATTCATAGATAGTTAGATATGAACAACATGAGTTAGGTATATAGATAATGAACAGAATCAGATAGATAGATAGGTAGATAGATAGATAGATAGATAGGAAAAGAGTGAAATTGATCGATAGATAGATAGATAGATAGATAGATAGATAGATAGATAGATAGAGAGATAGAGAGATAGATAGATAGGAAAAGAGTGAAATTGATCGATAGATAGATAGATAGATAGATAGATAGATAGATAGATAGATAGATAGATAGATACGAAAAGAATGAAATTGACCGAACGTGTGAGAGCAGTAAGGAGAAAGATTGAATTTCAAAAGTTAAAATATCTAAAACAACACCGAGTAAGAATGTTTAATTATTTAAACGATAAAGAAAGCACCAAGAAAGGATAGACAGAAAGAAGAAGAGAACATAGAGCAAAAAAGATCGAGATGGAAAGTAACATTCGCAATAGTTTTCATACGATTGCAAGCATATCGCCGGCTTTTACGAGGTATTAACCGAACGTTGGTGAATAGAGAGCAATAACATTTTAACGTAACTAAAAAATGAACTCATTCAAAACATAATTTTAAAATCATGTTAAAGAAGGTAATGTTTTAGAGAGCAATAATTTTGAGTATACTGGTCATGAAGGTAACCCCGAAAGACATAACGAATCAACTATGTCTATTTTAGCACATGTTTATTCTTTATGGTTAGTAAAATCAGATATTTACGGATCATGAAAGGAATTACGAAAAACATCTAATAAATCAACTACATTCTATTTTTTTTTTTTTTTTGAAATCGGTATCACCCCATGTAAGGCAGTAAAGCCGCTAAACTCAATCGGTTGCAGGGCGTGGTAGAATTGGGGTCACAAATATTAACAGAGTTGAAAAAGAGAAAACAGTAATCAGGAGGAGAGTAAATAGCGATTGACATTGCATTTAAATTTTTGCAGATTAATGTTGGCTGGAAAAAAAATGGAACCAGAAGTTTGTTCCACAAGTGAGATGTACGAGAAAAAAAAACTGTGAGCATAAAACTTCCTGTTACTTCTATCCACCTCCACTGACAACTAATGAAATCTCAAAGTACTGCGCATAAATTCAAATGTCTATGTCCGATAGCGAAGAGAACATCCGAATAATTACCATGAAAGTATTTATAGAAAAGACTCAGAAAAGCAACCTTATTGGCGGTGTGAAGTGACTGAAGCCGAACTGCCAGATCAGAACCAGTAATATTGCTGATTATTTGGATTTTATCCCGGAGCTCAAGGTAAATAGCAAAAGCACCGCGGCACTTGTGGCAGCAATATTCCAAACATGGACTTATGTATATGTCAGCTAGACTTTGAACTGAAAAAACTGTTTCGAACAAAACAGTGAACCGAATTTCTTAGTAGTTGTCGTAGGAATGAATTCAATATTGTCTTTCGACTTCATGTCAGCCAAGGACTTTTGCTCGAGAAGGCGCATCGTGTCACTTTCCTGGAGGTTAGAAGAAACCAGACTGATGGAAGGCAAATATGAGTGTTTTAGATGATTAATGGAGAGATGTTTCGTTTTAGCGGCGTTAAAATTAACAAGCACCGCTTAACGACGGCCTTGAGGTCGTTTTGTATTTCGGTTCCCATTTTGACCTTGTCGGACTTTGCCTTATTATCAAAGGTTGGAGTATATGATTGCGTCGTCGGTGTAGATATTGGCGAAGGATTCACCTTTATCTTTTAGAAAACTGAGATAAACTAATCATGAAAGAAATTAACCTAAACATATAGTGGGTATTTTGACGTTGACGTCAAATTTATCACTTGAAAACCTCTGATCTATATAGAGAGAAGTTGAAATTAATACCCAAAAAGAAACGAATGAATAATTTGTTCTTAAAAGCCTGTGTATGCTTTTTGGTGCATATGCACATGTTTTCGTGCTAGGAAGTGGCGGCAGTATGTTTTATACTTGCACGCAATCTTTTTTTTGTCTTTTTTTTTAAGCATTTCACCCCAAGCAAGGCGGGAAGCCACTCGGACGCAAGGGGTTACAGAAAGTTTAGAGCAAGATCAGATAGGAGTGATAGAAGAAAGGATGAGGGTAGTGGATAGATCAAGGCAACTAGAGATGTCGATTGACATTACACTTGAATATCTGGAGATTAAAACTCACAGGGAAACAGGAATAGGGAAAGGAGTTCCACAGGCGAGAGGTGCGAGACATGAAGCTATTAGAGTAGAAGAGACGGTTATATTTAAGAGTTTCGACAGTGAAGGGGTGAGAGCGGGATGCCAGCCTCGTAAGGCGCTGGAACTCTTGACGTCTGGGAACCAGCGAATGCAGCTCCTCGGAGCAATTTCCATGAAAGTATTTGTAGAACAGACATGTTTGAAAAGAATCATTCACAATTTTGAAAAGTTGTTTTAAATATAGTTCCTTAAAAACATTTGCTGTCTAAATACAAAGATATATATATATATATATATATATATATATATATATATATATATATATATATATATATATATATATATAATCAATAAATACATGAATACATGAAGTAATAAACAAATTAAAAACTGTTCCCGCCAAAATAATAGTTAGAATTAACTACAACAATCAACTCCAAAATTGAATAAATAGCTTTAATTATCTTCCCAAACCAAAACGAAATCAATAAATAAGCGATATAAACAAATTTTACTATATTAATAGAAACACCGATTAAAATAAAAATTTTAAAAAGTAAATATATATATAAGATGATAAATAAAATTAAAAAAATAAAATTAGAAATAAATAAAAACAAGCAAAATAATTTACCAAAATAAATAAGTAAACAAATAAACGTCTTCCGTTAAAATAACCAGCAAATTAGACAACTCACAATGCACCACTGACCCGAATATAGAAATAGCGGAGAAAAATTACAGCACTCGTGGCATGACGATTACATCTAGCATGAAACAGACTGTCGCCTCTCAGTGTTGACTTCTATGTTCACATTTATATTAACACACGCTCTATCTCTTATACTGAGCACTTTATCCATAAATAAGACTATATTTCACACACACACACACACACACACATATATATATATATATATATCTTTGTATTTAGACAGCAAATGTTTTTTAAGTGAAATATATATAAAACAATCCTTTTTTTTCGATTAATTTTACAAAAAAACTTTTCAAAATTGCGAATGATCCTTTTCAAACATGGATGAAATAATGTCAGAAATTGTTCGAACTATATTTCAGAAGCAATGTGGTTCAAGCTTTCGACTTGCCTAAGTCACAAAGATTCAATATTTTTCTCCGCCTAAGCTTCAGATGTCTTAAATAATATGAAAAAGTGCATCAAATATCTTTCGAAATAAACTCCGGGCAATTTCTGACGGAATTTCCTCCACAATTGAGTAGGATCATTTAAAAAGTTTGTGTGTAAAATGAATCGACACAAAATGTTTGATGTATTCAGCTTTGACAGAGGTCGAAAAACTTTACGCGACCTTGTAGGTGATGAATTATTTTCTTCCCTACATCCCCTTTTCACAGAGAAGTTAAGACGAGCTACTATTCCTAATTCCATCATTTCAGGTATTTATAGATAGAACCCACCATGACATTACTTGCTCCTAGTCATTCCCGTTGAATTTATTGGGCAACGATACATTTCCACCAAGAGAAATTCTTATCGTGGAATAGATTTTCAGTAATTGGAATCCTCGTTCAAATCTATACACTCTTAACCTCATTAATAAAGATCATACTTACCCTCATAATATGAACTTTTTTCTCACTTCTTGTACAATAATATTCTAACTTGAGTGACTCTTGAGCATTGTAATGGGTAAAAATGATATCAAAACGTTTAGTTTAGAATTCAAGCATTTCATAGTCAGTATAAATGTATTTCCCACAGATGCCTAGGGGCGATTTTGGAATTGAAGTAAAATCAAGAAATATTTAAAGCAGACACGTCTTTCTAATTTGACATATTTTTCTTTTCTTTCTTTAACTACTATTCAAAGCACAGCTTAGTAAATACTAGAAACAATTACATAATTCACTGATATGAATGAAAAGTTAACCAATTAAGGAAAAAGAAAGTTTGAATGGTAGCAAACCGTGTCTGGAAATAGATCATCATCTCTTCTGTCCGACAAAATATCGTTTATAGTAAATTACGAAATTGAGCTCCATGGGGGATTGTAAATTTAAAAAGGCAATTTATTCGTCGGAATCTATCGTATGTGGGTATATGTGGTGGTTTAATGGATAGCGACTCGGAATGAGAAATCTGAGTGTCGAAATCGATATCTATTCAAGTTCGGCACAATCACTTAAACGCAAATACCATTGGGAAAAGGACGAAAGCATCTCTTTTTCTATTTCCATAGCAATGAGTAAAGAACATGACAAACTGAAGGCTATAGTCTCGATTGGCAACCAGTCTAGGAGAAGGAAATCTCTGGATTCAACCCAGCTTGGAGAGAGTTGGTTTCCGAAGACACATGATTGCCGCTCTTGTTGTAGTACATGTGGTACCCATAGGCCTCTAATGTTTTACGGAACACGTATTCCTGATAGTGAACTTACAGTATAACATCCGAAAATGGGACAGTGCTACAGAGTCTGTTAAAACTATGTATACAGAGGACACGGATGCAATGAAGGTGCGTAAATATATGCTGTTGATTAAAATGTTTTTAAATGAAAATTGCGACCAATCGGATAAATATCGCCATCGAAGATCACCTAATTTGAATGACGGGTTCTTGAAAGAGAATATTGAATTGGATCCAGATCAAAGCACCAGGAATTTGTTTCAGATTATTAATTCGTCCTGTAGCTCTGTTCCTGAATATTTCAACCACATTACAAATTAAATTGGAGATAGAAAAATTGAGTTATTCGTGTATATTCACTTATGAACAGAACACAACGTCCGATCATATGGAAAAATCTTTTAACAAAGAATGTTAACTTATAAATTTTTGCATTGCATTCGTACTGGTTTTACAAATCAACAGAAATGGAAAAAGGTAGTGGTCATAAAAGAATGAGAAACCAGTACCAAATTCCCAAATATAACACCCGTTATTTTGTTATTACATCGTCTATGAATCTAACTATGGACATCGTATCGCAGAGAGTCACATCGGTTGTCTTCAGGACAACAACAAAATTACAACTTCTCAGTTTCACACTGAAAATCAAAAATAATCTCTTCATTAGGCGAACTTTTATTTCTTTTAATATTAAATGTTAAAACAGTCGGGATCTGTATCGGTCAATTATTTTCCGCAGAGAAATGATGTTTGACACTCTCCGACGTTGGATAGGATATCAGTTAATGAGAAAAAGTCTGTACTGCAGCTGTTTTTAGGCCATTTGCTAGCTACCAAGATATGCTAAAGACATTTTGAGTCAGAAAGTCTCTTTTTTTTACTTGGAAATCTCCTATTCTTCCTCGTATCCCATTAAAGGAATTCATGGACCAATGAAAAAAACAAACAAACAAAAAAAAAAAAAAAAAAAAAAACAAAAAAAAACACCCCATCCTAATTGGTTTCCTTTTTCTTGCTTAACTTGTGACCTACAACTGGTCCTGTCAAATATACCGTATATCAGAAATACGATATATTTCCAACAACCCCTGAAATCATTTATTAAATGTTTTTCTTCTTTTTAACTCTTAACCTTAAATTATTCTCCTTTATTCTACATTCATAATCTAGACATATCTCCTTCATGTATGAGGAAATATATAAGCAGGGCTGGGTGCTCTATGGCAGCCCCTGGCAATGCGTTATGACTCTCGCTATCTTATTTAATATTCGCTTATTGTCTATCTATATGTATACACGTTACAAATTAAACTCGGCATGACTATTAAAGGTTGAGAATTTTTCACGGATTTTGATGTAATTCTGGATTCTTTTTGTGTTTAAATTCGCGAATTTGTTTTGCTCATGCCATGTCACAAAAAAAAACATTATATAAAATTATCTATTTTATTATCCATAATGTTGAATGTGTTAAAATCGTTCAACTTTTAACAAGATAAATCTGAAGTTGATGTTAAAATTACGCAAAACACTATTTAAGATGGAATGATTTAATTCGTATTTAGATGCACTATTTATTTTCAATGTTTCAGTTGAATTTTTAACCTGTATTGCATTTGACAAATTATTGTATAAAATTAGGTTACAGTAATGTTTATTTTTATGAAGACTACCTTATGAAAATTGAGATGTAGTAAAGTGTGGGGGGGGGACATATAATAAATTTAAGGGGCCTCTTATAGATCGAGTGGGTGGGGACACGAGTCCCTTACATCGGCCTTTTATATAAGGGCTACAATACATAAGTTCAGTGCCAGCAAATGGATATTTCAAAAATTTCCCAAATTAGCGGACAGAAAAGAAAATATTTTGTGGCATGATAACGGAAGGGTATATTGTAGAAGAAATCCAAGAAAAGAATTTCATCAAATTTAAGTTGGGAGTTTCCTTCGCACCCTAAATACTTACCAGATTTTAGCACCTGATGTTTGTCAAATGTTTCAATCACCGACATATTTTTTTAAATAGCAGAACATTTAGAAACAAAGAGGTTGAATATAGATTTGTTTTAAAGCGGAAAACCCCAGAGTTCTTTAAACGTGGAAATCGGAATATTAATTTCTCGTCAAACGACAGCGAAGAAAAATAGATGATTTTATTTCTGTTTGATAATAAATAAAATATAAATAAATAAATTTGCCTTGCGTATTCTTTCTATTAAAACGTGATTAATTTACAAACATTATATGATCGAAGAGGAATCAAGAACATAATTTTTGATATAGTTCGATATGTACAGCGAAAATGGCAAGATACAGCAAACATGAGAAAAATGATGACGGTGGGGACATATGGGGTCTGATAAAAAAAAAGTATTCGGACTGGTCCTATAATCAATTCGGCAAATAATCCGCTTCTGAAGTTACACACTTTATCCAGCGTCGTTTCCATTAATGGAAACATTTCTGGAACTGTTTTCTTGGGATATGGAACAACTGCCTCGTCGCATTTTCTTGTATTTCCTCGTCATCTTGATATCTTCTCTTCTAGTGAGATTTGATTATTAAAGAGGAAAATGTCACACGGTGCGCGATCTGGAGAATATTATCGTTATCGGACCTGGAGAATGTAGTTTCTTGGTCGAAAACTGTTGTGTAAGCCATGGTCGCTGATTGAACCTCTTTAGTGTGGTGAGACGACCAAACTCTATACACTGTCCTCTTAAGCACTGCTCTAAACAACAGAAGTGTGCGAGAACGTTATAACATGTGTGTATGCGCGACAGAGCTCATGGTCAATCTGATCCAAGCGGCTTCACTTTACATACATTAGATCCGTTATATAGAAAGAGTCCAGATAACTTTTGATCAGACCTTGTAAAATATTCGGGTATCTATTATAAAATACAGAGAAGGAATAAAGTATATATAAAAGAGAATGTCTTATACAATGAAACAAATAAAAGCAAATTTAGAGTTTGTCAAAAACTATTTTCAAACAAAGAAGGAACAAAGATCCAAATAGCAACATCTTTGAGAAGCACTTTTTTTTTCCGGACGTCTATCTACCTATCTATAGATCAATGATAAAATCCGAAGAAGAATCGGTAAAATAAACTTAACAACTGAAGAAAGGAAGTCTATACGAAAAATCATAGAAAACAAATAAGAGTTCGAAAAGACTGAGACAAAGAAAAAACAGTAATACTTTGAATAAAGTCGACAAAAGACTGTAAAACAGTCTTGAAATTCAGTGTTGGACTACATAACGGAGTAGGAAGCAACGGTGGAGAAAACAAAATGTCTTAATATGAATGAATGTGAAAAAAGAGAGTGACGATGAAAATGGAACAAATATGTGGATCTGAATCTATGGAAAACCTTGTGAAACGTCGTTTTAAGGGCTTGTATGTAGCATCAGACTATTTTTCTTTGTTTTTAAATTCAGTAAAGCGACACTGAATATAGAAGAGTTAGAAAGGAACATAATTGAAGAACAAAGGAAGAATAATCAGGAGGATAAAAGTTGTCTGAAAAGCATGAAGCCGGAAGTAGTTCTACAAGCGAGAAGTACGAAAAAAGAAACTGTCAGAATAGAATTTACACTCATATTTAGCGATCTCAATTATAAATCGTTGAGACCTCATCGCCAAATTAGTAATGTGCTTAAATTCGAAAAAAACTCGGCACCATAGCGACAAGTACCTCCGAACATTACCATGAAAGTATTTATAGAAAAGGCAAAGAAAGGCTACGTTATGGCGGTGGAAATTTGACGGCAGACGAGACTTCAGACTGGGTTCAATAATTTTGCTGATTCTTCTTCGGATTTTATCAATGATCTATAGATAGGTAGATAGACGTCTGGAGAAATTTAAATAAAGGAGATTAGGCAGGAAGTAAATATATGTTAGAAATTTTTTAAAAAAATGGGAAAGAAAACGAGATTATGAAATATGGAAGTAGCTAAAGTAAGAGTCGAAAATTTAATAGTGAAGAGGAATGTATATTGAAGGAAAAGAAGAGACAACAGCGGAGAAAATGAAGGGACAATAAAAGTAGCAGTAGAGAGAAAAGAATATCACTAGAAATTATAATGTGAAAGAAAAAATGTCGACGAGCAAGAGAAAAGATAGATAATGGACACATCATGGAATACGTATATTTTTACAATGGAAGAGTATGCCTTGTCGAGAGAAAAATATTAGGGTTTGGTTAAGATTTAATAACAAAATGAAATAAAAGAAACTGGAAATTTCCGAAATTATTTATTCCAACTGATATCAATATCAGGGTAATTCATTCTTGGTAATCAACTTTTGTGAACAAGATTTTATTCTCAAAGGGTACACATGCCGCAATCAAAAAATATTTCAATTATAATAGTTACGTAATTGTGTGGATTATCCCACTTGGCTTTGCCAAAACGTCTGCAATGTGGCGCTCTTTATTTCTATAAAAATATCATTATATTCTCTCTCTTTTTAATTTTTGCTTCCAGATGTAGTCGGGCGTACAAAAAGGAAGCTGCCGACGTAGCGTACACACACACACATACACACACACATACACAAACACACATACACGCACATGCATAGATAGACATATATACGCATGCACACATATATACTTAACTTCGTCTGTGTATGTGCATGTATGAGAGAGTTCGCAAGGCGATAGAGAACCAAGTCTGTTAACTTTTGAACTCTCTTACATACGCTCATAAACAAACCTGTCTACGTCACACGCTTGTTATACACACATAAACGCAAACAAACGCACAAAAAATAAGCACACTCTTATAACTACTTTTAATGTTGTTATTTTCTTTCGTTACAAAGGTGTACACATGTTATTTCTTTTTGTTAATAACAGGCATTGTTCTTTGTTTTATATTAATTGTTTTGTGTTTCTTATTTTATCAGTGCTCACATTGAGTCCGCCTATATTTGCTGCGGGATAAATGTTCCTGGAGCCCTATTGTGAGACCGTAATATACCAACAACATATTTCAATCCTGGCGACAAAGTCTTTTTCAAGGCTTACAAAAACAACATAACATTCTGGGAAGTAGGCACCATAAAACAAAGAATTGGCGAACTGGTCTATATTGTCTAAGGGCCGAAAAACACTCACAAACGCCATTGGAACCAGCTCAGAAAATGCCGTTTGAAGGAATCGGAGGAATCACTACAAAATAGCTGTGAAGAGCCGATCGATGTAATTTTCGATCACTTCGATCTTGACACGCCCCAAGTCACTCCTGAAGTGCGACGCTCAGGAAGGAAAAGAAAATTTACTCAACCGCTCGACGTAAATCCCAAGAGAAAAAAGTATTAACAGTTTTGTTTTTTCTCCTTTTCAAAAAGAAAAAAAAGAAAAGAAAACTCTCGGAAGGGGGGGGGTATTGTGAGACCGTAACATACCTACAACATGGATTCTTCCAGTACTATATAAAGTATGCGACATAACACTCTACAGAGAAAGAAGAAGAAGAAGAAGAGGAGAGAGTATGCTAATACCGTAGTATCAGCCGCGTACGACTACCAATATTGGACACTAGCACATAGTAAGCTCCGCTTACACTATCTTTGTAACATTTTGTTTAATATATCTTTCTTACCACTAATCCGTGTTCCGTGTTTTCCTTTCGTGGTCCCAACTTTGAGTCCACATCAAGCCCATAAATATTTAATAAAATATCTGCAATTTTATCGCAATGAAAGAGATGATGTCTGCATTTCTGCGGAAATATCCTTCTAGTAGCCAACAAAGAAAAACATGTTCAGATAAAAGCTATTTAGCTGTTATTGCTCACGTTAAAATCTGATATTAATTACAAAAAATAACAATCCGGTAATAACTAAACAATTCAAAAATAAATCCCCGCATAACTATTTGAAAATTTGACTAATCATATGTTTCTACTTATGATCTACTAATGCGTATCGATACAAGATAGGACGGTAGGTATTAATGTGATATTTGCTCCAGTTGAAAATAGAATCAAAGTTAGTATTATAGGATATAAACTTCTATATTTTACGGCCAATGAGTAAAGAAAAGAAAAAAAACAAGTAAGAGAGGCCTAAAAATTAAATCTTACAAAAATCAGTAGGTAAGAAAAACCTTTACAGTTCTGTACAAAATACGGCTCAAAAGTTAAATACTTGTTTTCTGGTACCTGATTGGATATGCCAAGTCACGAGATATGCTCTCTACGACGTCCGCCCGGTTGAACTAACTTCAAATACCCTGGAAATAGGTTACAGCTTCGGTCATGTGTACGTTCCCGGCAAAAATCAGATGGATTCCGTGATCCGATCACCGACTCAGCATAAGCCATATGAAGTCAGCGGACAGATATGAAACGGAACAGTCAGTACCAGATCTGCAATGAAACCGTCGGCGAAAGATAATCAGCGAAACCGACGAGCCTCGACACACGTTACTATGACAATGCTTCAGTCAGCGATGACCTTTCTACACATAAAGCCGCGACGAATGGAACTTTTAGATCCCCTTCTCTTTGTTCAGCGTGTTTTGAAATCACTATTACCGCAAGCAATCAGCAGTCTCAGGCATGTTTTAGCGTGTTCTTCACACACACACACACACACACACACACACACACACACACACACACACACACACACACACACACACATGCACTGTTTGGCGTACACATTACCCCAAACTTTCTATACTCTTTTCGAATGGAACTTTTAGATCCCCTTCTCTTTGTTCAGCGTGTTTTGAAATCACTATTACCGCAAGCAATCAGCAGTCTCAGGCATGTTTTAGCGTGTTCTTCACACACACACACACACACACACACACACACACACACACACACACACACACACACACACATGCACTGTTTGGCGTACACATTACCCCAAACTTTCTATACTCACTTGCAACAAAATAACTTCGATCTTGCAACAGTATAAACATACTTCATGAGATTATTATTAAAATAATGTCTCGCCTACCTATGAGAATATCTGCTCGTTTAAAAACAAAACAAAAAAAAAAAAACAAAAAACAACACATTTTTTTTTATTATTTAGGTTCTAGTCTGGATGGTGGTACCTTAAAGACATGAAGTAATCTTTGCACCCAGTGATCATTTATCGGCGGTGTAGATCTTTTTCAAGATTGCCTTCTAGTTTAAGAAATATTGTTGACTCAGGCTCGAAGCGTGTGAAGGCGACGTACCAGTGTGAAATATCTTTGCCCCGGGTATTGGTTTCACCTTAAATGTAACATCAGTAGGTGGCGCCACAGGTAAGACTTGACGCGGCGTTTCTGTTAAAGCAATCATTTTCATAAATACAAAATTTAAAAAAATGGAGGAGTGACACAGACACACACAAATATACATGACTTCGACTGTATTTGTAATAGCATTATTAGATGTAAACAGAAATCATCAGACCAGTATATAATAATATAATGACAATCCTTGTTTATTGACAAAACTTTAGTCACTGAGGTAATATTTTATATAGAAACATACATATATGTGCCATCACGAATTCGCTAAAACTTATCATGAAAAAAAATGTACCAATTTCATAAAAACAAAATTTTACCATCAAAATCTTCATGTTATTATTAAAAGGAACAGCCAAATGATTTTTTTGTATTATTATTAAATCATATGCTTTCTCTTATAGAACTTTCGAAAATTTCGTTAAAAATATTTTGTTCTTTGACGTCAGCTCGGATAGGAAATTTTGGAGTCTTTTCCGTTCAAAACACATTGATTTGGAAATTATTTAAAAAAATCAAATAATTGTTGGATTTAAATAAAAATTTCATGACTTAATCACAAATAAATGCTATTATTTTATAAATCATTTTTATTAGGAAATCTTGGTCGTAATATTTTTTACATCTGTTACCCCTTCCTCCACTTATTTAATTTAATGAAATTTTGATCCGCCTAATATTGTTAATGAATTTAAAGCAGAAATTCTTGGATAATTTAAATCATCAATTTCATTTTTGTTAAACAGGACCCCCACTTACAGAAAATCTGCTTTAAATCGAAAAATAAAAATTGCAGTAAAAGTAAGACATTATATAAATAAAAAAAAATCATTACTTTTATAAATAAGATATATGGACAATATTGTCAATATATTTTTTACCATGAATAATTAATTTTTGAAAGAATTGTTTTAATTTTTTTTTAATTTTTATTATAATAATTCATAAAGTTTTAAGTCATTTAAAATTCGGTATTAATTTTTCCAGTTAAGTGATATTATCATTGAATTAAGACTATAGTTACTAATCATAAATGGAAAATTCGTATTACATTTTCGCTACCCCCAATGTTTTAAAAGAATTTCTAAAAAGAAATTTTAAAAGAATTTATAATTTTTGTGGGTGTGTATAAACGTGCCGATTTTTTGATACGGACGTCCATCAGAAAATAAGAGAAATATATATAGTAGATATGAAACCAAATTACCTAAAAGTCAACAAAACGTTAGATTACGAAGAGTATTTTCGTAAAATTTTGAGACTATTTTGAAGTTAAAAGTTTTTTATACAGGCGCTTCCATTACATTCCCAACTATATTTTTACAAATATATCCATCTTAGAATAAAATTGGATAAAATTCCGTTTGTCAGTCAAGCTTTCAAAACCATAGATAAACAGCTAAGGCCTGTTAAAAATGCATTTCAGCGATATTTTAAATATAAAATAAGTAATATATGTCAGATCAGATTAATTAAACTTTAAATCTGCTAATATTCATCAAGTAAAATTTTAGTAAAGTAAATGTTTAAAAAGAGAATTATGTAGTGTTGACAGATTGTCATTATGGCGAATATTATCGATATCAATGAGTTAAAAATTATTTCACGCAATATAACTTCAATTTGAAATAGAGCAAATTTTGCTTATTGGAAATATTAATCTCTTCTACAAGCTTGAAATTCAAACTAAAAACTTCAAGAATTTATTTTTCGTTATAAAATTCATTTTAATCCTTATGTGTCGTTTATACCTAAGTATTTTACGAAGTGGATTAAATTCTACATATTATTATAATTAATTTATTTTGTTTAAATGTTATTTTTGATGGATACTCCTGTTCGAGTGGAAGCTCTGCATATAATTAAACAGTATA